TTGTTTAACTCCATTCTTCTGAGCCAGATTTCCCTCTTCTTCGCATTTTTGTGCCTTTCTGTGCACAACAAGTCACTGGTCTGCACCCTTTAGATACCTAGGCTTTCCAAACCACACGCTTCATTTCTCTGTGCATTTGAGAAGCCTGAGATGAACTTTGTTGAAGCTGGCAGTGGTGAATCAATATCCTTTGCAGACTGGCCACTGGTCATCCACAGTGACCACAATATCATGTGCATCTCCTTACAAAGAGCAAAAAGGTTTATTTGCCTAAGGACTCTTGTATGTAACAAAAAACAGCTTATAACTTTGTAAGTTGTATAGGCTTTGAGCTCCTTCAAAATTTGATGATGAAGAACAAAAGAAAAAGCCATGTACCTATACCAGGTGTCAATCTGGCCAATGAGGTCTGCTAACTACTGTTAATCAATCAGTTGAAAACAGAATGGAAAATCAACCCGAGTTTGTATGGGCTTGGCTATTTCCATGACAAAAAGGTTTTCTAGCAGCAGGTATTGATAAAGCAATGCTAATGTTTTCTCCCCTGTTCTTCAGATAAGAGAGTGTATGAGAAGATATGCATACTATGCTGCTCAATTAGACTGTGGAGGTAGAGAAGGTGTTTCCAAAATGTTATCCCATGACTTGGGACACTCAGACAACCAAAGGTTAAACTGGGGATTGAGGAGGGGTTCAGAAGAATCAGCCCTCTCTGGTGACACAGGAAAAGCCTGAATTCCATTTACTCTGGGGTCTCTGCTAGGTACAAGATGGGATCACAGCACAAGCCCGTGAGGTTTGGTTTTGCTGTTTTCTGTCCTTTAAGTGGGAGGCCTCCAGCTGATGTGATATGGAAGTCTGGCAAACCTGATCCTTTCCAGGACCCTCTGCTGCAGACATGCTATTTACTGTCAAGCAGGTCCTAAATCTGTCCAGACCTGAGGAATAAAATAGGGTCATATGGTACCTCTCCCAGTGTATTTAAATACTCTTCCCTTTATCTACACAGACACTCTGCACAAATGTGTCATTTTGATGAGTTTGAGAGGAAACATTGAAAACAAGTGTATTTGAGGTTAAACTGTTCTGTTAGGCAAAACCAAAAAGAGAGGAAAATTATTGTTTTAACTTTCAGAATGAAAGTCAAGCATCAGAGTTTCCCAAGAAATGGAAATTGTTTCCTGGAATCTCTGCTCCACAGCTGCAAGGGTGGGCTGACCTCTCTCAGCTGAGCTCACCTCACAGATTTCAGCCCCATCATCTGCACATCCCCTCCACTTCAGTCCTCCAGGTGGACAGGTCACATATCCTTGGTGCAGTTTTCCTAAGGACAGGGTAAGCGCCTGTTCTGAAAGCAAACTGCACTGTTGTTTGGCACCATTCCTTCTGGCTACAGGAATGGTGCAGCAACTGGGATACTGGACCTAGAAATTTGCTCAGTTGTGATGTCTGGCAGACCATACCTCAAATTAAAATACTGCTTCTGACCTTGCCAGTTGAGGGAAGGGATGTGTTTGAACCCCAGGAAGTTTCTGCAGTCTCTCAGTGAGATGGGGAATGGCAGACTCAGGAATTTTCTCTACACTGCTCTGCTGCTCTATAGAGGAGTGGGGCAGGACCCCTCTGTGGTATCCTCACCTGACACAGGAGGGGGAGCTTTACTGAAAAAAGCAGTGACTCCATCTCCCCCCAGACATCCACAATGAGGACGCTGTGGTGCAGGGAGAGTACAGGGCCTGGGGCTGGAGCCATGCCCAGTAGGTTGCCCAGAAGGGAAGTGGTGAAGTGAGCAGAGATCTGCCCTCAGCCCTGGAAAAGATTTCCCTCTCTTGAGCCAGTGCACTAACAGGAAAAATGGAGATCTAGCAGGAGTAATTGCAGAAGAGAGACATGGGAATGGATATGTCACAGAATTAAATTACATCTGTTGGTAGGCACAAAGAAGAGGGGAGCCTTCCCAAAATAAACCTGGTTGCTGCACCTTTGCAGCTTAGAAACCTATCACACCACAGGGAGCCACTAAAGTGAAACTCAGTCTTGGATTGCTTCTCTTAGCTGTGCAGTAAAGTTCAAGTGTCTCCATGCTCCCAGGCTCCTACAGAGGCTGGGAAGAGCAATGCCATGACTGCTGTTGGGCTGCAGAAAGCCACAGACACTTTCAGCAGATGCCTTAGCTCACACCTGCAGCAAGGTTCGGTGCAGCTCTGGGAATTAGACAGGTTGGACCAAATCTGAAGATGTAAACTAACACACCAACACAAAAATTTCTGATCCTTTTTGTACCCTGAGCACAAAGAATGTTTAGTGTTTTATAAATGGTTTAGTTTTCATCATTGCAGCTTTACACATTTTTGATATGAACTGCTCATGTTAACAGTCTGTGGTATAAGCTTCATGATTTCAAGTTCTTTTCATCAGTCCCAACACTGGAAAGAAAAATGATTCTGAAATCTATTTGCATCAAGAAGCTGCATCTTAAAAAAAAAAAAAAATCCCGAACAGCAGACTCACAAAATTACATGAACTGCAAGAACAGGGTTTTGCTGCCTTTTTCTCCCTCTTCAGGTTTTTAAATAGTTTCAGTTACTGCTTTCAATGTGGCACATTCCTGACAGCAAAATGGCTAAGACCAAAGGTACTAGTCCCTAAGGAGTGGCAAACCCACACTGACCACCCTAAGAAAGCAATCCCAGCTATCTCACTTCTGTGGGTTTTTCAAAACTAGGGTCTTCCTGCCAGAGACCTGATGGAAGTCAGCTGTCTATGTCATCCCTCTGCCCTTTTTCCCCTAATGCTGGTAATCCTCATGTGTCCCATTAGAGCAAAGAGCTTACCAGATATGCCAGCAGGAAAGCACAGAGTAGCCCTGCCTGCCAATGATGGCATTTCCCCATTTGCTAAATGGGGAAATGATCCTGTTGCACAGGATCATTAAATCTGCTTTTAAAGCAAAAGACTGTGCTGAGTCTCTGGGTCCTGCTTATGCTGCCTGTGAAAAGCCCTCAGGAAGAAACAGTGAAGAGAAAATCAACTGGTGGGAACTCAAGCTCTTGCTCTTGGCTCTATTTTGGTTTAGTATCTTCTTACCTTTGGGACATTTAAACACCTTTTTGGAGGCTTGGGGCAGGACCAAGTATACTACTTATAAAACAGCCTGGGAATTGAGATGTTTTAAAAATAAGAATGGAAACGGCAATCTACAGATGATAAAAAAAAAAAAAGGTAACCCAGGCAAAAGTGTGAAGTAGAGGTAAAGGGACAAAATCAAGAACAAGGAACTTATAGGTTAGATACTTTTGAGAAGCTTCCTGATCATCAGACATCTCCCAAAGGAAATGGCAGGTCTGTGACTTTCTATTCCAAAATACACTGTGGCAGACAATAGAAAATACTCAAGGGATGCAGTCCTCTGTGTGTGGAGAGGAGAAGGAGAGAGGGGGTTGGGGAGAGTGTCCACAACGTGGCAAAATACCTGCTTCAGCCCTAAGTCAGTCTTTGCTCCATATGTGCACAGAGGACATAAAAACTAAGAGCTCAGCTCCCCATCCCCTCTGAGACATCCCAGGATACTCTATAGTGAAAAAGAATAAAACAAGTATAAGCAGTTACTGAATTGGGCTCTGTTAAACCTGCAAACCCTTATAAAGCTATATATTGGTCATGCCACATGCAATCTGTGCTGAGTTGGTTTGATCACTGTTTGGTCTTTTCTCCACCCCAAAATCTATTCAGATAGTTTGGTTGAGGACTTTTTTCCTGTAATGAACATGCCTGAACAGACCAGATCTTTAACTCTTGCCTATGGGGATACTCAGCACAAACAACAAGGTTGGCAATGTGAGCACCTGGGTGGTATCAGAATCACCCAGCTGAGCTATGTGCTGGAAATCTTCAAAGGTAAACTGAAGTGGTGCTTCAAACACACTGTTCCCTGGCTCTGTCGTGTGTCCCCTGCTGTTGGGGCTGCATCCACGTAGAAAAATGTTTATCTGGGAAGATAATATACAGCGTTCAGTGAGATCTCGCTTTGGCTAAGAGAAATACCAAATGTCCTCTCTTTCGTCATTTGATGTTTTGCCAATGTTGTAATCACCTTTCTATTTCCTGTGTCCCTCCTAAAAACAAATATTTTTATTCCTTTACCACTTAAAAAAACCCAAACTGTTTGGAAAGCTTGCAAACCCAGTCTGACATGACTGAAACAAGCACCATCATTCCCATTTTGAATGAATGGGAAAGGAAGCAAGGGGAAGTGAATTGCCTTGCCCAAGAGGGTGTTACACAGGAGAAGGCTTGGACACGAACACCAGGAAAGCCAGACTCCTGTCCACCAGCTGTATGCCCCTCCTGAGACACGAGATTCAACTCTCCTGAAACACAGGACACACGGCATGGAGAAAAAGGGACAGCAAACCCTCTGGGGGTGCGCTACTCATCCAGCTTGCTGAAGCAACAGTTTTTGGGTCCTCTTTCATGAACCACAATGGTCTATTGATAACGAAAGTGACACCTTCCAGCCCACGTGGAATAAGGGGTTCACACAGCTCAGGGTCCGAATCACTGCTGCTGCTGCACGGGTTGGGTAGGAATCAACTCCAAGGAGCCTGCCAAATCTGTACGGTTTGTTCCTTCTCCTTATGTCCCCGTTTTTAATAGGGGTTTCTTAAAACCCTCTTTCAAAATGATACCTTTTAAAATCTCTCTTTCCCACCTCAGAGACTAAAACAGTAAACAGGAGTCCTTTCTCATTCCCCTTTCACAGATGTAATTTCTCCCCATAACATCCCCCTACTTTCCAAATCTGGACTAAAACCCGCAAAATAGTTTGAGGTGCATGGCAGGGGCTGAGGGGGTGGGGGGGGGAGGGAGGGAGACCTTTATCTGAACTCCAGCGAAGAGAGATTTTGAAGCTGCCGTTAGTGAGAAATTGCTTTGCAAGGTGGAGCTAAAGCAGATCAAGTTGCGAGTCACAAGCTAGTGGAAATAAAAGTTTTCTTTACCTCCATGTCCCGCAAGAAAGAGGTGTCCTCGGGGCAATCTTTCTTCCCCACCCCTTTCCCTCTTATCTGTGGGAAAACTTAAGCCGAGCCAGAGTAAAATCGTGCCGCCGTGGAGGGAGTGTAATATCCAAGCCCCTGCTCAGCTTGAAAACTGACAGAGCCCAGCGAGTGGCCCTGCACTACGAACAAGGAAGAAGGGCGGGTGGGTGAGAGGAAGGGAGGGAGGGGAGAGGAGGGGGAGGCAAAGCAATCAGGGTTTAAATTTAGAAACAAATCTAAACAGATACTGTCCTTGTCGGAGTGCTGGGCTCAGGAGACAACAAGCAACAAACTCTGCTGCTGCGCCCAAACTTGGGGACACCACACGTGCATTGCCTCCCTTCCTTTCTTTCTCCCCTTCGTATTTTGTATCAATTTATCTTTATTCCCCTCCCACCCACCCCTGTTTCGTCTTTATTTCTCCTACTCCTTGTAGTTGCTGCCCCAGTGTCTGCCTGGACCTCCGCCATCCACGCTTCCCTTTCCAAGTCCCCAAGGTCTCTTGCTCGTTTCTTGTGAGGACGATCTCTTTCTCTCTAACTGCAGCTTCCCTTCTCTCTTCCACACTTTTTAGTAATTTCAGTCAGCAGTCTTTAGAGTGGTTAGAGAGGCAGAATAGGAGGAAAGTGAGGGTGATTACTGGGGTTGAACAGAATTTAAGGCATTGATGTCCTGGTGTGTGGCTAGGACTTCCAAGAAGGACAATATCTGCTGGGTGATTCCCCAGAGAGACAAGAGGGTGTTGCTCAAATGTGGGCACAAGCAGAGGGTCCCCACGCAAGGTTGTCACTGTCCAGCTGGAGAGCAGGACTAGCTCTTTCCACCCTGAGTTTGTGCCTCACAACACCAGATTAGAAGGTGCAGGTTGTTCTTCCCTCCCTCCACAGGCATGGACATACTTATGCACTGAAAGTGAGAAGCTTCCATGGTGATAGAAAAATTCAGATGAGGGAAAATGAAGCCTCTGGAATGTTTCGCTACGGTTTCCCTTTCCATTCTGATCACAGTGTTGCAAACCGGACATCTCTTTTAGCAACTGTTTGCATATGCTTCCTTCTCAAGAATTTCAGTCCCCACCTCTCAGAACAGGGTGGTGCAGAGGAATTTGGAAACACTCCCTTTGTCTTTTGCTGGCTTCCTTGCCTTGTGTGCAGCTGCAAAGTGACACAATGTCATATCGTCATTTTGGCAGGATACCTTGGGGGTAGAAGAGAGTTAAAGCGTATTTTCTAAAAGGGATGCATACTTTTGCTTCGCAGTGTTTCACAAGTCCCTGCTGGCTATGGCTGAAAACACTCCAGAATGGATTTAATTGTGAGCACCATGATATCCCAGTTTACTGTTACCAACCCTTTTCCTTACAGTGTAGTTAACTGTTGCTACACTGCATACTGTGGGACTCCCGTGGAATTAGCAGCTTTAAACTCGTGATCTCATTGTCTCCCAAATTCAATATGCAACAGTTACTCTGTCCCCAGCCAAAAGAGCGATAGGCTGAGTTGCTGCAATCGGAAGATTGGGCAAGAGGGCTAATTAATCTTCAGTTGTTGAAACACTAGATTAGTTGAAACCCCTCTGCTGTAAGTAACCAAAATGCAGCTGTAGATATAAGAAGATGGATTAAAGACCTAAAAGAAATATGAAAATGAAACTACTTGATCAGAAATCCTATTAATTTCTTCAAGTCCTGACAACAGTAGGCTAGGAGAGGGAACAGGAACTGAACTGAGAAGCAGGGTGAAGCAGGGAGGGCAGGACTCTTCTGCTGCCCATACTCTGCCTGTTCTTAGGACAGAAGGAGGATTTCAAGCCCAGGGGTTTCACTGGACATGGCTCACAAGTGTTGTTTTCAAGATTTCTGTAACAGACTGTCAAAATCACACCTCCAATGGCTGCTTTATGCTGATCACCTTCTGTTTCAGTATTTTCTTTTTTGCTTTCAGGGGTTGTACTCTGCAGAGGAAACTGCTTAGTTCTACAGGAAAGGAAACTGCCAGACAAACAGTATCACTTTACTCATACCAATAAAGCAAAGGTAGTTGCAGCTGCCCCACCACAGTTCTTTACTCTATTTCTGCTCCCAAGGACCTTGCCACAGAGCAAATCTTCTCTGCCAGCAGGATTCTCAAATGCCATTGCTCTAAGCATGGTACACAGTATTCAGTTTTGTAATGTTAAATCTTTCTTTCTTAAGGAGCAAGGAGAGAATGCACAGAAATATGGTGTTTTTCTCCAGATGGGAAGACATGAAGTGTGGATTAGTTCTCCTCTTTCTTATTTCTGGACTGAAAAACACTAGAAACTCTGAGCAAAAAACCCACATGTTTCAACTGTGAGAACTTTGTAACAAACCTTAATTAAGGGAGGTTATGCTGAGAAACTGGGTGTTTTACACCATATGCATATGCAAGTATGAATGTGAGGTATCTGTGAGTGTGACTCTCTACATCCCTGTGTGTATATCTGCTTAGAGACCTTCTGGGATGTAGCAGTGTCTAGGAGATTAACTTCTTCTTATATGCAAAAAAAAAGTTGCCACATCTGTTCTACTCTGGAGGAAAAAAAAAACCAGTCATCACCACAATTGCCATGAAAAGGGACTGTAGAGGGAAATTTCATTTGACTGAGAAAATGTTGCAACTGCAGCTGCCTGGATTTTGCAGCTTCCCGGCTCACTCTTTTCAAGACACGTGAGGCCAAACCAGCAAGTTTGCTTCAGGCCAAATGAACTGGTACTTCTGCTACGGAGCAGCACGTGGGTGAGAGGTGCAAGGAACTCCTTCATCCTGGAATTCCTGCAAAACAGGTAGCATAAGTAGTTCTGCCATGCTCAGAAAAACCACGTTTAATATTTGCTGGCCTCCTGCATTTTGGCTATGAAGGATGGACAGTGGAACCTCCACAGGTTGCTGTAGTGAACAACAACGAGGAGATGCAGGGACATGGCAATTCTTTATTCAGAGACTAGCTAGTAAAAAAAGTTTCTGAGGGCATCTGAAGCTTTGACTCTGGCATTTGTGCCCATACAGTAATCTCATTCGGGTGTGTCTGCGTAGCTGCCAAATCTGGGAAGGTATGTTTTTCAGGGTAGTGGATGAGCAAAGGGTGGAGGGAGCTGTGGGTTCCTGCAAGACAGATTGAAATTCTATACTTTGTTAAGGCATTTGTTGAGGGTTTGGTAGAGCTCACCTGTCAATGCAAGTATCTGAAATTATTCTGTCAACCTCTCTCTCTGGCTTTGGCTGCTGCTATCCATATGATTTCCCAGAATTCATACTATTAACCAGCAGTTGTTACTATATTGGGCTTTTGACTGCCTGAAAACGGGTCTCAACCCTTCCTGTTCCCACTCAAGCAACTCAATTCTCAACCGAAAAAAAAAAAAAGGGGGACAAGGTAACTACAAAAAAAAAAAAAAAAAAGCATTTGCATTTCAAAGATCGATCAGGTCTAAAAGCCAACATCCTGTTTTGGGTTGGCTTTGCACATCAGCCCCTCTGACAATGGCAATCTGACAGGAAGTGAACGTGAGCAGCGTTTTTCTAAGGGAAGCTCCCTTTATTGAACCCACCATTCTGCTCACTGTGCTCTGAAGCCTCTGCTCCCGCCCACCCTGCCCTCGCCCCTCAGCATTTCAAACTAACACTGTGGACGCTGAGCCTCATCCTCCTCTTCGGGGAGTTATCAGCAGGAAATGAAGTCAGCTGGAACGCTTTGTACCATCAGCATTTTCCTGGTCGGGCCATGCAGCTGCAGTGAGGCACGTCTGGGAGTGCACAGGCACACACGTGCCAGCACCCACACGGACACATGGACACTGTGCAACCCTGGGAACTGGGGTGAGCAGGAAAGCCCCGTTACCAAAGATGTTTGGGTTAAATGAAAGGCTGAACGGGGAGTGTGAGACTGTGTGCTTTTCATACCCAAAAAAGGAGGTGATGGAGACTAACTGAAATATTGAATCATTTCACATGTCCTTGACTGTCAGCTGGCACCTGAGTGCTAAAATCATGGTTCACATGGACCAGGCTTCTTAATTCCTAAGCAGAGTAAGGTTAGGAAAATGCTGCATGGTACCGGAAGCATTTCACCTGTGATGCTCATAATAATGAGGTCATACTGAGGTGGCTCACCCTCATTCATACCAGGCCACTTGGGGCTGGTGGGTGGTGTACAGGCAGCTGGTGTCATCTCTTGCTTTGGAAAGCTCTTCTTTCACTGCTAATCTGCTTAACTTCAGAGAACAAAGTGAGCAGGGATATTAAGAGGCATGGTTGCAACCCATCGTATTAATATAGTGATGGGACAAATATTACCAGCATCAGCCACTGGCAACTTGCTTCCAGACTGAACAATTCCTCTATCAGCTACTAGTTTTAATACACAACAAAGCTTAATATAAACAAACAAACCCACTCAGAACATGGGTGCTGACTCAATCCCAGGTGTCTGTGTCGGATACAACCATGTTTTTGATCACATTGTTCTCAGGCCAGTCCTACTGCCTGTCCCTCAACATCCTAGAAAGTAGTGTCACAAGCAGTGGCTCTTGCCAAGAGCTTCCTCAGCTCAAGCGCTGACTGAACAGCACAGTTTTCTGACTGAAAATGGGACAACATTTCTGGTCCCCAACTAGTTATGGACAGGGGAAGCTTGCTTTGCCACTGCCTGTGTGGTGGCTGCTAAAAAGGTAAAAGGACTTTCAGCTGAATACCAGGCCAGCACTGTGTTCATTGTACCCATCTTCTAAAAACAACACTGATGAAAAGGTCAGTTAAAAAAGCTAAATTCCCAATCAAGGTAATCCAGGAACTCTGAGGATAAGAACAAAACACATAACACCTTCTTGTTTTCAGCAAAGGTCGGTGTTGTGTGCCATTTCCTAACAACAGCAGTGCTACATTATTTGACAGGACTGATATCTCCTCAGGAGGGTATCTAACCAACATTTTTAGAAACAATTTGCATGGTGGGGCTCATGTGGCATGGAGCACTGGCACTTCAAAGCACTGAGTGCTTCAGTTTTTGCCAGAGCTGACTCACAGGTCAGTTGCTTCTGTCATACACAGCAGCAAGTGGCTTTAATCACTTTAATCACTCTGGCTGTCATTTGAATGCAGAGAGCTGGCCAAGCTCTACACACAGTGAGGCTGCACAGCCCACAAGTGTTATCTGGACACAGACAGGTTTCTGTTCACAGACAGACTGCATGACTGAGACAGGAAGCCTGGACCAGGGCACAGCCAGACTGCACATCTGAGGAGAAACCTTGCCCAGCCCATCCTACAGCCAAGCCGTCTAAAGAGAGAGCTGGCTCAGGGAAAACCAGCTGTGAAGAGGGCAGACAAAGCTCGACGGTACACTAGCCCATCTCTGGCTAAAATACATCTTCTCCAGAGACACAGCCTGAAGCATGTAAAACACAGTGAAATAAAGACTGATCCATGAACTGGCCAGCTCCTCCAGGACAGAGTAAACTGGATCCATCTTTGGTGAGATATTAACTGTCTATTTACTGGTTTTTTAATGCAATAAAGCACACGAGTTGAAAATGAGAAGTACTGGCTGGCAATACTTTCTTGACCTTATCATGCAAGGGTGCTGGGAGCCCTGAGACATATTGCACTGTGGCAGAGATAACCCTTCTCCTTTCTCCGAGATCCAGCTGAGCAAGCGAGAGAGCCTGGAGATTGACTTCAGATAATTCATCCTTTCAGAGTAAGGTGAAAGACTTAAACACCTTATCCCTCACCCTACAGTTTCACTCTACACAGCCCATCCAAGAAATAGGGCACCAAAACAAGCCCCTTTTTTTTACTGCAATGTTCAAGACTGTACACCACAGTGCACCATCCATTGTAGAGACCACTCAGCCTAATAAATCCCATTCTCCGAAGAGGAAAGCCAATGTTATTTGCTTCCATAAGTCCTGCCGAGCACTGAATTCCCACTAGAATTCCCATCAGACTCATCGGCCCAAGTGCACTAGGGTTGTGCAGCACAGCCCTGGGCAGCTGGGGACAGAGAAGGCTGCAGATGTGCCACAAGGCTGTAAGGGCAGGGAAAGGCAAGGAAAACTTGGCAGACCTTGTTTGGATGGGCTTTTTCTCTTGGCACCTGAGATCCCGCTGTGTGTTCCCAGAGGTGGCGGGGGGGGGGGGTGAGAAATGATCTCCCACTCTCTTTATGAGGTTCACTTTGACTCTCCTCCCACAGGGGCTGTGTGGCTCCAGTAACATGCACCCTTTCTATAATAGGAGGGATGGCCACATTAAGCAAATACATGTATCTAAATCCAGAACATAACTTTTTTTTCTGAGCAAAATAATAAAAATAATAAAGAATTGCTAGCCCTGCTTGCCACATCCTATCTTCTTTCCTTTCTATCTTTCCGCCCACCCCTCCCCTGTGTGGCACTTATTGTTTGTTACTTCCACATGCTCTCTATGGTATCCCTTCTTTCCTGTGCTGACCCCCCAACCACCTCCTGCCTGTTCCCTGTCATGCCCTGCTGCTCCCCAGTAACATCATTCACACACATACTCTGCCACCACTGCCATTTGTCCCTTTGACTGCATCAAGTAAATACTGACACCTGCTCCCAGGCTCTCCAAGGGCAGGACTGCTTGTAAAAGGAGAGAAAAATGCAGTTTCTGTGTATGTACACATATGTTGGTAGGGACAGAAAAGAGCAAGCTATAATGTCTCTGGTTTAGCCATAAAAACCTCTAACAAAAAGTGTTTCTAACATCTTGTTTTCCTCATCCCCTTTTCTTTCCTAAGATATTTTTCTAGACCATTTTTGACCCTTTCTTCCACTCTCACTCATGCAGAACGGCTCCTGCCTTTTTCCCTCCAACATGTTCCACTCCTGCCCCTCACCTGAACATATTGTATAATCCTGCATACACACAGACAAACTTTAGCACATTCTCTTCTCTCATAACTCACTCCTTTTCTCCCTCTGGTTTTCTCCTCAGCACTCTGCCCTGAAATATCCCTTGTCCTGTACTACACACAAGGCTTCCTGTGTGTAGCCTGTATGGTCTGTAGGCTTAACCACCTACCTCAGCTGAATGGTTGCACATCAGGAGTTCAGAGTACCTTTTTTTTTTGTTTGTTTTCAGGAGAAGGCAGCAGCAGAAGGCTCTGTGTGTCCAGGACGCAGAGGAGAGGCAGGAATCTCTGTCTGTGCTCTGCAGGCAAGGGGGAATACTGGAGGAAAAATTATTTTGTTCTGCCTGTTTAGGATAGCAGATAAATGGTAGGACAGGGATGTGTGGTGTTTTTTCCTTCCTGAATTCAGCCCAACAGAATGATCCATCTGGCCTTCTACAAGCTGTGGGTGCTGTAAGGGCAGACTGTAGTAGTCTCACAGTAAGTTAATTTGGGTTTCTCAGTGCGTGGAAAAATGAAAATTCACTGTCTTTCAGGAGAAGTTGAATCAAGTCTCAGTATTATCCCAGTTAAAAACATCTATTTATACAAATCTTTGTAAGGATACTGAGCACAAAGTGGTGGTTACAATAAAGTACAGCTCAGCGTTTATTTGGGTAAGTAATGCAATTCTTACCCTGCAAGGCCTTCGGTGGAATGGTGTTCAACTAGGAAAACCAAGTCTTGCAGAAGAGAGGGCTCTGCCATACAGGGCCTGCAGTGTGCAAGAGATAAAGCCTGAGCACTTCCTAATAGCAAATCATCCTATAGTCTTTGCTGTCTAAATCAGTTCAAGATAGTCCCTGCTTGCTGTAATTAAATGACAAAGTTCCCCTCAGGGAAAGCTGAGCCACAAACACCTGTGCTGACACAGAACCAGCCCTTGAGTCCGATTTGGCAGCGGGCAGGGACAGCGGGGCTGATAGTGCCACAAACCACCCTTTGACCACAGAATTGTTCAGGTTGGAAAAGACCTTTAAGATCAAGCCCAACCACTAACCCAGCACTGTCGCATGCACCGTTAAACCACGTCCTAAAGTACCGTATCCACGCGGGGTTTTTGGAACGCTTTTCAGGATCCGACGGACTTCCATGAGGCAGGGGCGATGCCAGGGGACGGCTTCTGCCGGGCTATCCCGGGGCACCTGGGACCCGCCGGACGGACCGGCCCCGGGCCGGTGGGTGCTGGAGGGTGAGCGGGCAGCCCCGTGTGCGGGGCTGGCTCTGGTACAGCCGCCGGGAACCGCCGGGAAAGGCCGGGAACCGCTCCCGGAAGCCGCCGGAGCTGCTCCCGCCAGCGCCCCCCGCAGCCCGACGGGATCCCTGCCGCCCCATCGACACGTGATTGCCAGGGAATTCTGCGGGCCGAGGCCCGCGATGCGAGGCTCGACAGGAACAACGCGTTGGTCACAACAACCCCATGGAGCGCTGCAGGCTGGGGACGGAGCGCCTGGAAAGCGGCCCGGTGGAATAGACCTGGGGGTGCTGGTCCACAGCTGCTGGACATGAGCCACGATGTGCCCAGGCAGCCAAGAAGACCAATGGCATCCTGGCCTGGATCAGGAACAGTCTGACCAGCTGGATCAGCTCCGCCTGTACTCGGCACTGGTGATGCCGCACCTCGAGTGCTGTGTCCAGTTTTGGACCCTCACTCCAGGAAAGACATTACAGTGCTGGAATGCGTCCAGAGAAGGGCAACGGAGCTGGGGTAGGGTCTGGAGCACAAGTCCTACAAAAAGTAGCTGAGGGAGCTGGGGAGGCTCAGCCTGAAGAAAAAGAGGCTCAGGGATCACCGTATCACTCTCTCCAACTTCCTGAAAGGAGGTTGTAGCCAGGTGGGGGTCGGGCTCTTATCCCAGCAATAGAATGACAGGACACAGCCTTAAGCTGTACCAGAGCGGTTCAGGTTGGACATTAGGAGGAATTTCCTCATGGAAGGGATGATCAGACATTGGAAGGGGCTGCCCGAGAGGTGGTGGAGTCACGCTCCCTCGAGGTGTTTACGACAGGACCTGGCCGTGGCACTCAGTACTATGGTCTGGCTGACACGGTGGTGTTCGGTCATAGGTCGTACTCCGTGATCTCAGAGGTCTTTTCCTACCTAATTCATCCTGTGCCCCTGAGATTCTGAACAGCCTCTCGCTGATTGCCGGACTGCTGCTGACTCTGCCCCGCCTCCCTCCCTCCCTCCCGACGGGCGGACGGACGGACACCGGACGGCGGTCAGCGCCCCCAGGGCTGTTTACAACATCTGCACTCGTGGGCCCGCGCCCTGCGCTTCTCATTGGCCGAAGAGGGCGGGCATCGCTAGTCCATTGGCTGATGGCGGGCGGGCCAATCCCTCACTCCCAAGATTGCTCCTCATTGGTGGGGGCGGGCGGGCAGCTCCATTCCCATTGGCGAAGGGTGGGCAGGCTCCGCCCCCTGGCGCGCGGCCGGGGCTGTGCGGGACGCGGGCGGCTCGGCCCGTCGCTCGGTGGCGGGGAGTGGTATTTGAGTGCACGGCTGTGAGGGGGAGGATGGCGGGGCTGCTGCTCTGCATGGCCTCAGCGCTGCTGCTAGCGGCCGCGGGGGCCATCCCGCCGCCCGAGGACGCGGCGCGCATGGCGCGCTTCGTCCTGCACAGCTGCGACTGGGGCGCTCTGGCCACGCTGTCGGCGCAGGAGGGGCTGCGCGGCCGCCCCTTCGCCAACATCTTCTCGCTCAGCGACGGGCCCCCGGGGCCCTTCGGCGGCAGCGGCGTCCCCTACCTGTACCTGACGGACATGGAGATCTCCGTGCAGGACCTGGAGGTGAGCGGGGCAAGGGGTGTGAACAGCGTGAGCAGTGACCCCCCCACGGGACGCCCAGAGGAGTGCCCAGGGTACCGAGGCAGCGTGGGGTTTTGCTTGGTTGCCTGCACTTTTTCATCTCACTGGCAAGCGGTGGTTGGAGTTGCTTTTGCTTTTTAAGTTCACACCAGCCCTGCGAAGGCAGCGCGACAGCACTGAGTTCACAGAATCCCAGAATCCTTAGGGTTGGAGGGGACCTCTGGAGATCATCCTGATGCCGGGGCAGGGTCACCTGGAGCAGGTGACACAGGAAAGCATCTAGGCTGGTTTGGAATGTCTCCAGAAAGGGAGACTTCCTGGGCAGCTGTTCTAGTGCTCTAACACCCTCAACGTAAAGTTGTGTTCAGGTGAAACCCCTTGTGGTTTAGTTTGTGGCTGTTCCATGGACACCTCATTTGTTGTTATCCCTTGAGCAATTACTATCTCTTGAACAGCTGAGCATGAGCAATGCTGTCCATGTTGACACTCAAAGGGCCTCCTGAAAAGTTCCTGCTCGTCATGGCCTTGAGAAATGGCAGAAGCAGCACCAAACAGAGGAAGTGGCTGGAACTTCCAGAACCACCAAGCAGAGAAATGAGGCGCCACAGAATGTCACCAAAAAAAAAAAAAATCCAAAGGACTGGAAATTGGCAGTGTGGGACTTTAAACAAAGAGGGCTCCTACACAGGCTGCTGAAGGAATAGTAATTAAATCTCTGGAGCTTACCGTAAAGGGAAGCACACAAGCAAAGGCAGCATTGGCATGTTGTGGCTCTGAGAGTGTGTAATTTGCCTTGTCCCAGATCTTTTGCCTGCCTGTGCCAAGGGAGGTAGCTAAAAACTTAGAGATATAGCAGTCGTGTGCCTCCTTTACAGGAAAACTTTTTTTGTTCCAGTAGCTGTTGCAGTGTTAGTAAAAAAAACCCACAAAACGCAAAATAATAGAAAATATCTATTGACTTTATCATAACCCCTTTTTGTTTGTTCCCTGCTGTGTTTTACTTTGTTACATTAAAATGCCTTAATTATGTATCTAAGTGCTGTAGAAATTTATCTTGTATAGTATCTCCCCGTCCACCCCAGCTACAGCCTTTTGTTTTCAGAATAATATAAAAACTATGGTGTGAATGGCTATTGGACGTTTTCCTTCAGAAAGCTCCTCAACAGATCCTTATTTTGCTTTTACAGGGCAGAAACATTTGACATGTGATAGTCACGTGCTAGGGAGAAGGTGCTGAACAATCATGAGTCAGCTTTTTCTGTAGTTACGCAACTTCCTCTCTGTCAGGTGGTGCCTCCTGTTTCATGAGTTCACGGGCACTCTTTGTAGTGTTTGAGTGACTTTTGGGAGGTTCTTTTTGACATGCCTCTTCTAGTGAAATTTCTCAAAGCAGGTGAACTTTCTTTGCTGGGAGATAATGAACATAATGTACGTGTGTTATGTATGTATGTGACACTCTGCAGTAGGGAGCGCTGTTTTGCACCAATATTTTTCAAGCCATGGTCACCAAATTAGTTTTAGAAAAACAATCAGGTACAGATTCTTTAACTTTTCAAGTTAGGTGTTTCTCTTAGGTTTTAAGAGTATGTCTAAAATTCACTTTAAATTTCAAAAGAACTGACTGGTTTAGGGCAGCCAGGAGGCTTGTTTTGAAGGGAGGAGTTGTTTGGTTTAGGTTTAACTAATATTATTAGCAGCTGTGAAACTCAGTTAGTTACCTTCTCAGTTACTCTTTGTCCTTCCACCAGAATTAATAAAGTTCACTGTATGTATGTCCTTTTTTTCTGTGCTGTATGTAGTTGGAATATGTCATAATTTGAAGGTGAAATAGCTAGACTGTATATTGAATTCAGGAGCCCCTGGTGGTCTAGTGGTAAGGGCGCGGCGCTGTCACCGCTGAGGCCTGGGTTCGATTCCCGGTCAGGGCCACTCCCGGGCAGGTGGGGCTCGTTAGCCCTTAAAGGCAACCCATCTACGTCCTAAGGGCCTCGCTGCCACCGTCCAAGCTCGCTTGGCCCCGGCAGATGAACCTTAGGATTAAAGGGTGGGCTCAGTTCCGCGCACACTGTGTCTCACCTAAAAAATCCAATGCGCAGGCTGGAAGGTGTAAAGACCTTCCCTGGATCTTCACTCGCAAAGACTGGCCATTATTATATTGAATTCAGAGTTTTGAGGAGTGCTGTTTTTTGACATTTGCATTTTATGCTAAAAAGCTTCAGCACACTTCAAAACCGGGCATTCTTTCAGATTCAGAGCTCATCTAAGTAGGCTTTCAGCTACAGTCAGGAAAAGGTGATGACAGCTTTAGTCTTTTTAGCAGTAATACTGAGCTGAATAAAGTACCAAGAGCTGAATAAAGTACTAACAGCTGAAAATGTGGCAGGGATGGCATTTTTCTTGCAAAAGTATGTAAACCTCTTATCTTATTTCTTGCATTTCAGGTCAATTCAAATGCCTCCTTAACTGTGTCTTTGGCACAGACTCCTTACTGCAGGAGGCACAGATATGATCCCCAGAATCCCCTCTGTGCCCACATAATCTTCGCTGGGAGCATTGTGAAGGTAAGCAGCTGAAAGCTGAACACTGGGCAAGGTTGTGTGCATCAAGTAGTGTTGTTTAGTGGGAGGAGAAGAGAAAAGTTAGAAATTCTGTGCAAAAGCATGTGAAGAGATGTTATGTGCTGTGATACCCCAAGACTGGTTCGTAGTTTGAGGAAAATGAGGTTACCCCTTGATATTTGCAGGAGCTCTGTTGGTATGTCTTTAACAAGGAATTTGAGGGGACAGCACTGTAACATTAGAAGTCTCCCTCCTTCCCCTAGTTGTGTTCTGAAACTAAGAAGTCTACGACAACTCACTTGGAAAAGCCTTCATACTTCATTCACATCTCTCCTGCTCAGCTAAATTCTTTGGTCCATGCATTGTGACAAACGTGCTTCTGAATCTTTATTGCTCAGGCCAATATTTACTTCAACAAAGTTACCATATTAAAGTTACAGGATTAGAACAATAAAGTTACAAAAATAAAATTACAGTATTAGAGGCAAAAAAAAGTGCATTATATATATCTAGTGTCATTGCTGCCAGGACAGCATTCTTTCGTGTCTTTCTTTGGTGTCTCATGGAAGGAATTTAGAACTGCATGTGTTATTGATTGAAGATCTTAATCCCATCATTGAAGATGATGATTGAGGATTACTCTCTCTTAGATGGTAGTTTAAATTTTGGTGTTTTCACACCTCTGATGTTTGTACATTGCACTCAGCAATGTTTTATTGCTTTCCTGAGTTTCTCATTGATAATGGAGTCAGGTTTTTTCAATTAGTTCTTCAAATACCATACTCTAACTTGTTAATTTAACTCTTTAAACACTGTATTTTAAGTGCCGTCACACTTTTCAATGAGTTTCTCTGTAGTTCTGCTATACCATCCTATTTGTGTGTGTGTTTGCCAAGGTCTGAACACAGTTCAGATCTGTTTGTGTCAGTTTGAATCAGCAGGTGCAGAGGAGGTAAAATTACACCTAAGACATCACTTTGTAATAATTCAGCAAGATTCCATACTCTTCTGTTTTGTGTTTTGTTGAAAGACTTATTCTTATGTTGATGAAGTACTTTCTTGCTCACGCTAACTTTAAAAGCACCCTTTTGATTTAATGTTAAAATCAGCTGCCTTGGAATTTTTGCCTGTCTCACATACACCACATTGAAGATGAGTGGACTCTGCCACAGTAATGAGTCCCCTGGGACAAGGCATGGCAGAACTGGAAAGAGCACACTGCAGTCAGCAGTGGTTTTTTTTTAACTAAAATCTGTCTTTATATGACTATCTTACTGTAATACTTTGCTATTTTTTTGTTTAGGTGAATGATTCAGAAGCAGTCTTGGCCAAAAAAGCATTATTCAGTCGCCACCCTGAAATGGAAAGTTGGCCTAAGGATCATAATTGGTTCTTTGCCAAATTCAACATCACCAATATCTGGGTCCTCGACTACTTTGGTGGATTGAAAATTGTGACACCAGAAGAATATTATAGTGTCAAACCTTAGTAAGTACTGGAGTTTTTAATGCCTAACTCTCGTTGTGTTTGAAACCTGTAAAATGTCTCCTGATTGTTAACAGTATGTACTGTATATTACCTGTCTCTGGTTTTTATATGCATTTATGTCTTTTCTCTAAGTGATCTACTGGATGCAGTGTCTGAAGTCATGAGGTATGTTTGAATAGGGGATCCAACTGTGTAAAAGCATCAAATATAGTATCTGTAGAACTGTACATGATTAACTGCACCTCAGCTTAAGTAGTTTCTTGGGACTCCTGTAGAGTGGGCACAGTCCCTGTCCTCAGAATTAATTGCAAGAGAGATGATGTTTTGGTCTAATAATTAAAAGCAGTGAGACTGTTCAGCATTTATGAAGCTGTATTAATGGGATCACAGCAATATTGCTAATATTTTCAGAACAAAATTGCTATACATTTATTAAACTATATTTATATAGTTTAATATATAAATATTAAACTAAAGAGAAATTGTGTTCTTTTATCTACATAAAAGTTAGTCTTGATAACATACAAACGTATTTTAGCTCAGTCAGAAATTATGCAATAATTTCACTCTTTTTCTTACTCCTTGTAGATGGAAGAAGATCCGTGTGATGCTGATATGGAAATGAATTACTTTGGCTGTTTCATGAAAGATTTATTTTTTCTATGTATTGTAGAGCTGAATTAATAACACAGTAAATCAAACACCTCATATTGTTAATGAGCATGTATTACCCTTATAAAGCAGATTTAACTTCTCACTAACTTGAATCATAGTGTGCTCAAAAACCTTTGTGCATAATCCTTAACTAAATTTTATTAATTGGATGTGATTTTGGAAAGGTGGCTGACAGTCTGCATTCAGAAGTGTTTTTTTTACTAGAATCTAAAGGATTAGTCCAGTTCTAAAGTTTTCAGTGTGTTAGCTAAATAATATCTGTTTGTGAGCACTCTCCAATTCTATTTTATTTTTAATACCACTTTAGTTTAGAATTTTATGGCAAAATACTACAGGATGGCTCAGATGACTCGGATCAGTGGAATGGAAAGCACTGCTTGTGTTACAATGGTAAATGATGTGCTGAGTTCCCAAATCCTGGTAAAAATTTCCTTTGCACTCTGATACACTCCCTTGTTTGAGCCATTTTTTTAATTTTGCTGCCTATATTGAATGTGCTGTAGGATACAGTTGTATTTATGCAAACTGTACATGTACCTCAGGATAAGTTCTTGATACCTCTTCAGTGGTTACATGCCCTGACCCTTTAAAAGAAACTGGGTGGTATCTGATTAGGATTCTGAAATCTTCAGCTTTGGCTGTATCAGCTTTTATTTCCCTCAGCAGTAGAACTGAACAGATTTTAGGGTTTGGAAGCCTTACATGTCACTTCTGGGTTAGTAACCCATGCTCTATAAGTCATGAATCATGTGTGTCATACTGTATTGCTCCTTTTTCACTTCTGGGTTAGTAACCCAGTAACCCCCTTCTGGTTAGTAACCCAGAAGTGAAAAAGGAGCAATACAGTATGACACACATGATTCATGATTTATAGAGCATGAAAATTAGTGAAAAGTGTACATAGTTAATTCTGTGTTATAATAAGTTGCACACAACCACAAAACGCCCCCAAATTAACACCTTTTTACATCCTCTCTCGTCTGCTGTGTGCAAAGTTCACAAACACTAAAAAGCGTTTATGAACAATTAAGTTGGTTTTACAATGAGCAAATATTACCTAGTTAACCTAGAATCTGAGAATTTAGACTCCTTAGAGGCAGATTCTTATATAGAAGAGTGGGATTTCTTATATAAAATCCCTACATCTTAATGTTGTTGTTATATCACTACTGGAATGATTTGTGAAAATATTTGTTATGTAACTTACTAAGTTTTCCTTCTCCAGAAGGGGAAGGAAGGAAATTTTTACTGTTCTTCTATTTTAAAACTAATTTAAGATCAAAAAAAGTTACAATATGGAAACAATTTATGCTGAACAGGTAACATCGATATTTAATATGAAATTGAAAAGTATTTTTATATAAGGCATGGCAATTGTAGAAACTCATATGAATCTTTGTCATGGACTTAATCTTTACTGTGAGGACACCTGAATGCATTACATGTCACCCTGTAACTTCTCATGTGTGAGACTGATGATGCTGAGCTTTTGTTAAAATTAAAATATTTTTGACAAGTGGTGTCAAGTGTTATTTATTGCACGTTTGAGAATTCTTCTCTCTCTCCTCCTGCTCTCTTTCACACAGACACTCTCTCTTCAATGTTAGTGTTTTATTGTTGCCCTGGAGTCTTTCATTCTTGCAAGGATAAAGGGGGAAACATCCCTATTTACACCTGGCTTTCCCCTCCATGGATGAAATAAGCATCTTTGTGTTTCACTTTCTTTCCTGCATCTAATACTGTGAAATGGAACATAATAACAGTGGAGTTTGTGAAGGTGAATACAAGGAAGCCTCATTTGATTATCCTTTTCAGTCAGAGCTTCTGCATTTTGACATGAAATCTGTGTCATTAGCAGGCACGTTTCCAGCCAGCCCCAGGAAAGCAGGGCTTCATTACACCTTAACAATGAATAGAAAGACAAATGCCATAATTCTGAATATTCCCGCTTCCTTCTTCCTCCAGCAGCTCTTATTGCTGGGCATGACATCCTGTGGCCTGGGGTGTTCCTCTGGTCACTTGGGGTCAGCTGTTCCTGCATCCCCAGACTCCTCACTGGAAGGGCAGGACCTAAATAAGAACAAACTGGTGTGTTATCAGGGCTGTTTAAAGTACAAATTCAAAACATAGCCTCAAACACGCTGCTTTGAAAAAAACCCCAAACCCCTCCATTCCAACCAAAACCAGTACATCACCTTCAAAAGTATCACTTCCATAAGGCTTCTCTGTTTCTGATTGTCTTGTCTCACTGTCGCGGTCGAGGCGGGAGGCGACACAGTTTCAGCATACCAGCTTGCTTTATTGCAACAGTGCAGCTACCTTTATACAGTTCTGGGGTGACACATGTACGCACAGCATTGGTTTACCATTTCATAACAACTCATGATTGGACACACAGCCACATGTCTTAACGCAATAGGTTAACATTCCTAACAGGAAACCCACTCTGTGTCACAGTCCTACTGTCCTTACACCCTCTGCCAGGTGTAAGAAGTTCTGTCTTCGGTATCTCAGTTTACAGAGAGCCCAGAACCAGCTGGGCTCCCCCACATCTCACCAGTACCAATTCACAAGTATTTTCTGATTGTGAGTAGAAGGGCTTTTTTGAGTAACAAACGAGTTTTGTTATACTACTGCATTTTATTGGAACAATTTTAGATCATCCAAATCTCTTACATTTGAAATTTGAAAGGACCCCAACCAGATGTTTTGGGGTTTTTTTCAGAAAGTGGTGAACAACAGAATGCTTAAGCTACATGTGCAGACCTGGATTTGAGATTTTGATCTGAGAAGAACTATCTGAAATTGTGTCTGTGCATCTCACTGAACATTTTTTGTGTATTTTTATATGTAGAAATGGATTGTAAAGGAGGTTAGGGTGTCAATCTCCCCTAGTGACAGGTGTGTAAATGTTAGTATCACCAACTCAAGAAAGTCACCAGCTTGTCCTGTTTTTCCTTGCCTTTTCTCCCTGTGTGCACCTTTGTTCTATTTGACTCATTTGGGAACTTGCTTGTGAACATGTTTCCTTTTTTCCTCTTATCCAGAAGCAATATGGTGGCTTAGAAGAGGCCAAGAATAAGAAATTGATACAGCTGTAAGCAATGAATCAGTGTTTCAACTTCTGTGTCCTCTGCCATGGCACGCTGGAAGTATCTGGGCATATTCTCAATAGCAATGAAATCAGCCACCATCCCCAGGAAGGTAAGTACCTGCATTCACAGATAGCAATCCGAGTCACAGGATAATTTAGGCACCTCATTAAGTCACAGGATGTTTGTTAGCTGGGAATCTAATAAGGATAATCACATCCTGTCTCTAACAATACAGTTGTGTTCTTCCATCTCTGTGTTTCTTCTTGGCGCTCAATTCTTGATTTTCAGTTTCGTTCTTACATTTTAATGCAAGAGTTGTGCCCAGGAGGTTCTTGCAACATGCTACATCATTACAGACCAGAACTTACGTAATATCAGGTATTTGTATAATCCTTTATTCAGTTCTCTCTGGAATTAATTTCTTAGCTATTTAGCCATCTTTGCAATAAAATAGAGGTAGCTCAGAGTCTTAGATTAACACAAGAAGTATTAATCATAACTTAGTGGATAAATTTGTTTTCAAAAGGCTTTTCCTGAGTAAAAACGTTGAATCTAGATTAAAAATTCAGTAAACTGATATACTATTGTTGAACACAAGAGGGTGCCATAGACTCGCGTTCAGCTTGAGTGTTAAATGTTTAATACTTAAAAGTGGTTATTGAATTCATCATAACTCAGAGGTGCTGGAAAAGCAAACGACGGGGGCATAATACGAACAAATTCTTTTTCTACACAGTGCTTTACATTATGAATGCTTCCCTCCATAAACACGGCAGCTTGCTAGCTGGGAAAAAAAAAGGAAGCATTCATCATTTTTTTGTGTTTTGTAATCATTTTGTGCTATGGAGAGCCAGAAGTAATATCCATGAAAATGATTTAAAGGGTTTTAAATTAAGAAACTCTAGTAAAGGAAATGGAGACAGGTATAGAATGCCTCAGAACATCAGCTGGGAGCAGCCACCTCCAGACTCTACAGTGTTTATTTTTGCCAGTATAAGAATCCAAAGGGAGAGTGTTCATTAGTGTGACAGTGTTTTTGTTTAGGCTTATTGTTAGCTGGATTAAACCACTTGACTCTGGTTTGTAATTTCCAACAGTTAATTAATCTTGGATTCTTTGAGTGCCCCTGGTCCCTCTCCAATGATTTGGGCTGCCTGTGCTGGAGGGTAGCCCTGATGATGTGCAGGTGTTTGGGTGGTGATGTAGAGCTGGAAAACGCCTGAAGCTTCCCCTCTTTGCCTGGGGGCTGTGCCAGAGCTCAGGCTCTTGCTGCCTGCCCAGTTCTACTGATTTGGCCTGAAACCTGCCTCAGCTGTGGCTGACCCTGGCTGCTGTCATACAGCATGCTTTTATTGTCCACATAGGGTGGGGCTGTGTATCTTGGAGTTAAGGTCCCTACTCTGCCACCCCTTCCTGCTCCCCTGCTTGGGTGGAGCAGTTGGTCCCTGGTGCTCCCTAATAGTTGTATTTTGCCTGCTGGGAAGATCAGTCCATGAGCTTCTCATGCAAGACTCCTGGAGTTGCTCCCAGGGTTTTTTGACTTAAGAACTTTTGTGTCTACAGGCTTCCTCTGAGTTTCTGAGTTGAATTACTGTGTAAGAAGATTAGACGGTAAGACTGTTTGTTCTGGGTATAGTGGTTAATGTTCTTCATAGCCTGGTTTTCTATGGAAACAAAACTCAGGTAACACGTTGTCTGGGTACTTGCTTTTGTCAGATTTGCTTTTCCCTTGGTTGGATTCAGATCTGAAATCAGAAGTCTGACCTTGAAGCCACCAAGTCCCTATCTGTGTCACAACAACTTGGAGCTCAAGAGAAGAAACAAAACCTAGTTCATGTCTATTAAAGCTACAAAAGTAATGAGTTTTAAAAATTGGAGTTTCATTAGTTGTGCTGATTGTAGAGCTGGAGCCTTCTGGTTGAATGCAACCAGGTATTTGTTTAGTATCTGAAGGAGTGAAATTTTGCATTATTGGTAGGATGGTAGGTTTTAATTAAAGAACCTGATAATTGTAATGATTGCTCTGAGCTATTTTTTCCCTCTAGCTCTTAATATCCTATAGAAAAGCCTTAACAATTCCCAACTACTATTTGCTCCTGATTCCTTCAGCTGTTACGATTTCTTTTGCATAGAATTTCTCCAGTTTAAACAAAACAGATGCCGTGTTCGTGGTGGTGGTCCAACAGCTGATGTGGGTCTTGCTGAGAGAGGAAAGTCTCTCCCTCAACCTCAGTAATTTGTCATTGTGTGTGTATCCATTGAGGTCTAGAATTGCTTCACGTTATTTTTGCTGCTGCCACTGGCTCAGATTGCAAACTTTGCACCCTCAGTTTCCGACCCCCACCCCCCATCTATAAAAATGTTAATAGATAACAGTTCACAAGATTCATGTAAAACACTTGTAAATCATCTGGGTAGCTTTAGACGAGGGGAATGTTTTTATGCAAATGGCACTTATATAACATCACCCAGTGCTAAAAAGTAACTTTCTAGATTGAAAGGTAGCAATTGTTTAGAAATAAGAAACATAATCATATACTGCAAGTATTTCTCTAAGAAAAACGTATACTTCTTTTCTGTCATTATTTAGCCAAAAGCAATTGCCTAAACAAGCATGAATTGGATTTTTGATTTGTTTTAAAAGCTTAAATGAATTACAGATAATTAAATTAAGTTTTCCCCCAGATGAGCATGTGAAAAATGCAGAAAAAATATGTGTTAGGGGTGAAGAGGGGAAGAAAATGAAGGAAATGAAGATACTTGTCACATGCATTAAAATCTGACTTCACAATACTTTTATATTCATGAAAAGCATAACCTTACTGATAAATTGCATTCTGTACAGCCATGCAAGAAAATACTGGAGCTGCTGTATAATTAAAAAGAGTGTTTCCAGAATATGTTTAGTGGTAAAGTCCCAGAATTTTTCTACATATGCTGTAATGTAATTGGGGAAATTCACCTGCAATTAACAGGTGAAAAAGCTGATGATGCAAGAGAGCTCAGTTTGACTAGCCTAAAGAAAAAGAAGCCTTGTTCTTCCTTCTTGGTATATGACACAAGCAGTGCTCTCTTGAGTGCATTAAAAAAATAATAAACCAGAACAGATCATAGAGGCTTCATTGGGGAGGAAAGAATTGGGCAATACAGACCCAGTAGTCTCAAAACTGAGCATGCAAAGAGTGTGTATTTTAACTTTCTACTAACAACTCCTTTAGAGGTTTCCAAAACCCTTGTTGCACTGAAAATTTTTAAGACCATACCAGGAACAGGAAATGGATAGTCACAAAAATCCTCAAAATAATGAATAGAAACTTGTTCTTGCACTACACCAGGGCATACTGATAACATCCCATGGGAAACACAGGCTTATGGCTGTGTTTGTCTTTATGGTACTGCACAGGTGTTCCTTTTTACGTTTGGGTTTTTTTTCCTCTTGTTGCATGTGTCAGGGTTTCTGTTTGTTCAATGCAGCTGCAAGGAGTTGTGACAGTCAAGTGGATTTTCCTCAGAAAAGTAGTATTTTCATACACAGAGGGGAGCAGTCGTAGCAAGACCAACTTCTCCTGCCTCCCTGTTGGGAGCTGCCAAAGCAAGACTTGTAGTTAGACCTGTCTTCTTTCCAGCTCTCCATTTGCAATGCTGGCAAAAGTGCAGGGCAGGGACTAATCCTCTTGGAATGCAGCAATTATCACTAAATAAATATTAATTGCTGCATTCCAAGGGGATTAGCACAGTTGAACCCAATTATAGCAAATCAAAGCTAGAGTGTAAGGCACTACAGTGCATTGAAATTCAGTGAAGCAATGTAGGACTGTCAATCTGCAACGTTTTGTCAATAAAAATTGTGGGCTTACACACTACAAACAGCAGACTATTTCAGTGTATTAGTCTCCTGCAGGAATGGCATGTCTGGCTGGAGGCTACAGCTTGCCCATCAGTGAAAATTGTTGCTTATTTAACACCCGTTATCTTCATGTGAACATCTCCAGAAATGTTTTTAATATTTGTTGAGTTGCCAAGTGTTACTCCCTGCTGGATCAGGGGCAGAACTCTGCAGTCTGTCTGGATGCTCCTGTCTCTAAAGTTGGCCAGGTCCTCCGTCAGGTGATGTAGGAATTCATTTTGCCTGCAAGTACTAACTGTATCAAATAGGCTTAGGAGACCTTCTCATAACCAACCTGTGCTCAATCCCAGCAGTCTGCAGCAATGATTACAGGCATATCTCTGTGGTAGCAACACATGAGCCAGAAGGTAGTGTGTAGTTATTTTTTTAATCCTCAGCTTGACTGTGGTGTGGGTTTGTTTTTCAGTTTTCATTTATTTCCAGTTAAAACTGTTAAAACCCTACTGCCTTTTTTTTTTTTTTAATAGCACTGTCAAAGCATAACCAGTAAGCTTGAAAAGGGAATGTTTCTAGGGATGAATCAGCCCCTTGCATTAGAGCTGTTCCAGGATTTCTTGTGTCCAGAGAAAGAATGACATATGGATGCACAGTAGCTGTTGAATGTATACCTTGACTATTTTATGAAAGATGTTATCCTTTCTGATAATGAGCTGCACCTTAACCAGCATTAAACACACCAAGTTGTACTTGGGGCCACTTCAGTTCCTTCACCCATTCTGTTTCAGGAACCACAGATCAAACATTTTCAGTCTTCCCAGTGCAGGTAATTCTTGGAAAGGCACTTTTCTCCACCCATATGTTTAGATAAAAAGTCAAGTTTAGCTGAGACTTTTTTTTTTTTATATCATAGCAGGGAGGGTTTTATGTTTCCACTGTGGCCTTGTCTGTATTGAGAAAAACAGCTGCTCGTTCAGCTGAACTAGGGTTGGCATTCATTTCTAGTACAGGGTTAAAAAAGTTCTTACAGTCTCAGTGAAGTAAGTAAGCTGAAATGTCAGTGTGGTTTAAACGGTCGGTAAGAATGCATATGTAAGATTGTCCAGCTCACGGTGTGCCTGGAGATGCTGAAGGTTTTATGTGCTATGTAGTTCCTAGAGATACAAAGACTAGATAGGCTGAAAAGAAGGCAACACTGAGCAAATAATTCCTCACTGTGTAATTGCAAGCTGTGTGAACACAGAAAAGCTTTCTCCTGGAGACCACTTCCCCTTTTTCTTCTGTACTGCTTGACTGCATATGATTTGCATCTCCTATGCCATGCTTGTGGTGTGAATAACTCCTAATACAAGGTTGAGTGCTCTTTGTATACTTTCATTGTATTTAAATTATAATGATAAGCTTGCCTTATTTCAAAAGCTGAGGGATGGGGAGGTGAGAATTTCTAGGGGCACTGTTATGCAAAGCCTTTTTCTTACTCTACCCACACTTCCAACTGAAGTCCATATACTCCATTCCTCTGACCTTTCCCTATCTAGACATCAAACCACATTGGCCCAACTGCTGTTCTCCCACTGTGCCTGCTGTTGCCATTAATCTCCCTTTCTTATACAGCTCTTCATTTCTTTTCCTTACCTTTGGCCTCAACTCTTTATTCAAAGTGATAATTTGCTGGCTTTCTGCCAGAGGCAGAAGCTATGATCAATAACAGGAGGAGACAGGGGTCAGCAGAATAGTGATGAGCAGTGCCATCTGCTCCTCTGAAAATACCGTTACCCAAAAATATCAATAACTGGGATGATATTATTTTAGCTTTTGGATAAGGCGACTGTGAGATTTAGGCAGCCTGCAGTGAGAGCAGGGGTCTTTTCCTGCTCACTAATTCCTTGTTTCAGCCAATCTTCTGTTGCACAGAGAAGCGGACAGAAAGGGCTTTATCCAGCTTGTGTTGGAATATAGAACATGTACCTGAGCACAGCCATTTCTGTGACTAATGACACCTCTTTCAGGTTCAGTGCATGGCAGCTCTCGTGGGCTGTGCTTTGCTTTCTGCCTGGTGGTGACTCAGAGCCCATGCCCAGCTTTTCCTTGTAGCTTTTGGGGTAGAAGAACCACAAATAAAACCCTCCCCAAGGCTGGGGAGAGAGTAGAGGCTCAGCAGTACTGCCTAGGCATCACAGAATGGCATGCTGCTCTAGGTATTGGGTGCTGGAGTAATACTAGAGTATTAATTTTTGTATTGACTAGCACAATATATAATATTTACTCAATTAAAGGAAAGAATGGTTTTATCAAAGCCTTTATTACTATAGACAGCGAGGTGATGAATTTCCTCCAAGAACTTCAGTTTGCTTTTTAAAGATACTTACTTCATGTGTACACGATAACTCTCACTCTGCCATACTCTTGGGAAATTGTTATAATCAACCCTGTTCCTGTACCTGCTGGAGATGCACATTCCTCTTTCTTTTCTAAGAATTAGAAATGGGGGGGGGGTGATATTCAGCTACATACCTGTGCTTCCTCTCAGCCTGAGCCCTGATCCTGAAGTATGTTAGTAGTACTACTGTTATAAACACTTGGTGTTCTGTTGAGCCAGATGTATTTTAATGGGAGTAAGGCTGAGCTTTAGGCCTTAAGGGTAATATAAGTCATGTTTTCAAACTTTTCTAATTCGTGGTTGTTTAAAATGAGCTTTTGTTGCTGCTGTTAAAAAAAGTGGAAATTTTTATTTGTCCATATTTGAAAAGAACACAATAATATGAGGTTTCTTACAAAGTGTCAAATTGTGTGATTTTCATGTAAATGCCCTAAATGCTTTGCTGAGAAATAACTTGTCTGATACCTCCTCCTCAGGAAGTTTTAGAAGAAAACTCCAGATTTCACTTTTCTTAGTTTCATTTCGTTATGCTGGTCTTTTTCTCTGCTCTGTTGCTCTAAATGGATCCCAGGCACCTGCCCCGTGTAGGTAGGCACAGGAGAGCCAAGGGGTTGGCAGGGGCTTAGGGCAATGTGGGAGTCAGTGCAGCCATCGTGCCGGATGGACAAAATGGAGCTGTGGGAAGCCAGGCTTCTCCCACGAGGCTGCTGGGCAGATCTGCTTGGTTTTGTCACTCCAAGGACTGCAATATAGGGCTGAAAAACCTTGTTATCTCCCAGACTGCAGACGCCTTCAGACCACTCATCCCCCTCTGGGGGTGTGCCAGTGTGCCTCAGGATCTGTCGCTGGAGGACAGCTCCAAGCAGCAGGCAGATTGAATCCCGTGGCCCACGCAGTAGGTAGGAGTGTTAGGCATAGCTACAGGCTGCCAGGCTGTCTGTTCCAAATAGAGTGAGGAAGGGATGCACACTGTGCTCTCCCACAGGGATGACACAGGCTTTGCTCCCTATGGGCTGTGGGGACTCGGAGGACAAAATGGCTCTCAAGCTCTGCAGGCCCTGACAACCCTTCAAAATACAAAGGTGCCACGTGTTCACATTAAAAGGCATCTGCATTTCAAAGATAGGTACTCCTTCAGAGAGCTAGGCAGGGGCAGCTGAGCTGGTATTTTATGTCCTGTGGGTGCTGCATGCAAGGACAAGCAAAGCTCAGCTCTCCCTGGTGCTGTCCACCTCACAGCCCTCAGAGCGCAGCTGCTTCCAGTTGCTCGTGGCAAAGCTGTATTTCCATTAGATTTAGAAATGAGCTTTAGATCTGTACCAGTTAAGCCAGCTATTGTTCAAGAGCAACTTATAGCTTACAGTTTTATACTGCTATTTATGCCACATACTGCACAGTGGGAATAGTTACATAGATCCCTTTTGAAGACTGGCCAAATAAGATACAAGCTACAGAGACCAGCAGCTGCTGACTGGGAATGACCTAGGAAGCACCATACAAAGCGGAAAAAACCCACCCCGCTGAAAATCATCTTGCAAAGAGTAAAAGGGTGAATAAAAATACAAAAGGAAACCCAAAACATCAATACCAGGAACGCAAACCCCAGCCCTCAGAGGCTGTGAAGGCAGAGGAAGCCAGCAGGTGGACTCCGAAAGCCCTCATAGGAGGAGAGCTGCTTCCTGTGGTGGTGGCGGCACACGAACAGAGCCCGTGGAGGAGCCGCTTCTCCTCCTTGCCTGTGGCCTCCTGCTCCGACGGCACCGTCTGGCAAGCAAGATGAAGTGGAGGAAGATTGCCATCCTTGCCACTCTCCAGGCACAGCTCCCAGCCACAGGTAAGGTGGGCTTTGGTTTTACGAGGAGCTGTCTTAAAGCTCTTTTGAGGAAAGGGCACGGTGTTTCTGTGGTGGGTTGCCCACCATTTTGGTAGCAGGAGGGTGTCCGCACAAGCACCTCAGCCTTGTCTGTCCTCCTCATTGTGGCTGGAATCATGGCCTGCCATGGCTAAGGTGGCAGGACCTGCTGGTGGAACTGCCCTGGAATAGAGGGACCCTCTGGAGGGCTGTGATGAGATGCCCTTCTCCTGCTGGAGCAACTGCTACAGATGAACAGCAACTCCTGATTAAATAAGGCCCTCACCTGGGCAGCTTTCCTTGCAATTTAAAGGAGGAAATTTGAGGCATTAATGAAAAAGTAGTAATTTGCAGTGATCTGCCACAGGAGAAGCTTTTAATTTGCATGAGGCAAGAGGAGAGCCATGCTGGTGGCTGGTTTGCAGCCCATGGCACATCTGGCAGGCAGGAAAGAGAGGCACAGGTGGTGAAAGAAATGGTAGGGACCTTCCTTCCATGTCCCTACCTTCATGCTTGCCTCCACGAGGCACACACAGAATTTAAGCCATTTTTATCTCTGCATATTTACCTGTGTGCTGTGTACACTGGCCGCACTCAGGCACAAAAGGAAGCAGCTTTAGTGTGCACAGATCTTCGGAAGTCGTGTCAAGTTTGGGAAGGAGAAATTTATTTCTTACTAAGTAGCATAGTAGATCAAAAGAGCAACAAAATTTACATCTGGAGAAGGCCTCAGCTGACGTCTGAATGTGGAGAAGTCAGGCCATATTTGAGTTTGCATTAAAGCAAAATCCACCGGAAGAGTTTCACCCACAGCAGACGCCCCAAACTGCGTCTAACAAACACAGCATCCTTAAACTGAAGAGCTTTGGTGACTGCCACAAACTTAATTTCAGTTTTCTGGAGATGACAGAAGGGTTTTGCAGCTGCTTGCAAACGCCATCAAACCAGTTCTGGTTAATTTGTGGAGGTTCTGTTTTAGGAGAGTTTTAAGTGTAGTTTTATGTTCTGTGGCAAACCCTGCCTTTTGATCACCATCTGTTCAATCTCTGGGGCCTCTGTCCCTCCCTGACACCCAAGTATGATCCTATACTTACAGCATACTTCTGTTACTTATATTCTGTGCATTGCTCTGTATCCATAGATACACGTAGGGCTATGAAGGTATGGAAATTACTTCAGGTCAAAATGCACCTGCAAAACATCTTTTTGCATTCTTCTTTTTAATCTGTCACAGAGTATCATCACAGTACCCTCTTTGTACATTTTCAGCAGAAAACTTTGTCTGAAAAATATGTAAAAAAAATATGCAGTTTGCAGATGGGAAAACCCATAGGAGTCTGTGGTGCAAAGCTCTTGGGGTTATTCACACTCACAAAGAATACATGGGATCAAGTTGCAAACTGAGTAGTGTTGTCACTAGTTTGGAGGTGTTTGCCTATGAATTTGAGAGAAAGCATTTTTGACTGGATACCTGGAATACCTTGAAGAATAGCTGTATTTAGCCTAAGAAGAAATAGTAGAAATACAGGTCAAAATGCAAACACGATTGATGCAAAATAGACAGTAACAAACATGTAAGATTGCCATGAACATAGTTCAAAGATGAGACTGAAAAAAAGGGGGCTTCTACTCAGAGGTATGAAGAGAAACAAATATTTTCTGCTGCCTGGAATGTTTTCAAGCTTCCTTAGAGTTCACTTCTAGAGTGACTTATAGAGAAATTAACTTTTTTTTTTTTTTTTTTTTCATAAAATGAGCTCGGAGTGGACAGACTCAGTAAGCTGGTATCTCCTTACAGTGAGTTCATTCCACTTCACTGTAATGTGTTTGTGCTTATTTTTTAAATAGTTGATTGAAAGATACCACCAAGATTAGCACTGATGAACTTGCAAAACCTTTCTATTTGAACTTTTCAGTACTGGAATAAATGTCATGCATGAGAAAAAAAGAAGTTTAAAATAAGTAGTTCTAGAGATGGACCATGAATTCTGATGCAGATTTTCGATTATTGACACCAGACCACAAATTTCAGAATGCTCAGATTTTTGAGCAGTTACAGAAGGAAGCCACATCATATGCACATTTAATTTTCCTTATTTCCCCCTTCAGAGGTACAGAAGTGTACATCTGGAAGTTTAGATGAGGTCCCCCTATAACCCCTCTGTTAAAAAGTGCATAAAAATTAACAATTTGAATTTCTGACCAAATGAGTTTATTAATCATGTTGTTCATTGAGACATAAGAAGAATATTAAAACACTTCTACCCAAATATCACAACTAAAATGGCAAAAATCTTCATACTGTTTAAAGAGCTTTTAATCTGAAGAATGACAGGCTTCAACAGCAATAAAACAGTCCTGTGGGCAATACTGTAGAATTGTTCCCCTGCTTTTTCTAAGGTTGCGATCACACTTTGATTTGTACAAATACACAACACACATGTGCATATAAATATATGTGCAAGAGTTTAACAACAGCCCTTCCTTGTTCTTCACTTCTTTAGAAACCCACTTTTCTTAGACTTCTCTGCTAACCAGAACTGGGCAGTGTCCTGGTTTTTGCTGACTCTATGGGAACTAGAAATGTCAGTCTTTGGCAGATATTACTTGTACAGCTTATTTTCTCAGTATTTTTCTACTGTATATAACTGTGTCTTCTGCCCATTGGGTGCCATAATGCCAGCAGCCTTTTTTCAGTCAGTTCATGGAAAGGTAATGGGTCTTAGCGTTAATTTTTTCCTTCCTTTTCATCAGATGATTTCGCTTGTCTACAAACTATAAGATTTCCAAAGCAGAAGTTGTTTACAAGCTTGTCTGAGAAATCCAAACAAGTAAATTTGGAGTATTTCTGCCAGCATCCGCATGTCCTTACGCGCTGTCAGAAGTTATCCTAGCTGAATTCTTGTTACACCTCAGGGGGGAAAAAAAATTTAAAGGCTTAATTTACAGATTTTATTTCCTTTTTCTCCTGCCCCTTCACAGTAATTCATTAATAATTCATGGGGGAAAACCATGAACTGGCACATTAGCGAATGGAACAAAATGCAGGCAATGTAGCCTTCCTTTATAAAGGGATGTTTGCTGAGCTCTTGCAGTGCCATGTTTAATTCTCTAATGCTTGTTACAGAGTAAGTACTTCTATCTGAACCCTCCTGAGCTAAATTCCTAATAAGTGAAGTAACAAGTTAATGGTTGCATTCCTTTTGGGTTTTTATGTGTGCTACATGTGAAGGATATACAAAATAGAGAGGGCCATCTGCAAAATAAATTTATATTTCTTCTGTGTGTGTGTGTCCTGCTTAAGTAAGGCTATGTGAATAAAAAACCAAAGTGGGGTTAATAAGGAGCTTCACTAGCAGCTTAAAGGGGACAAGAAATTAATTTATAAAGGAACATTCAAATGAGAAACATTTTTACAGCCATTTTATGTTGTTCACACAGAACTTGAATTGTGAGTAGCATTATGGGTAAGCCCTTTATTAAGGAAAAATACATAGCTAGGAAACAAATAATATATTTTTATTTATCTCCAAACTCTAACCAAACTCCCTTTAAAAAAAAAATAAAAACTTGTTTGCAAAATTACAGGCAACCATCGAATCCCCCTCCCCTTTCTCCAATTCACTGTATATTTGAACATCTGTACTGTGCGTAGAACTGTAAGATGCATCAGCTATTCTGGCAAGAAAATAGAGCACTTTTTTAGGGTGGTGTGAATAGAAGATACAACTTCTTAAAAATACTAGTTAAAATATGTATCATATTAAAGGTGCCTGCTTTTTCCATGTGCGTGTGTACTTGTAAGCATGTTGTTGATTTTCACTGTTCTACTGACACAATTTCAGCCAACAGCTAAATTAAAGTTTCACTGCTGTTTCTTTTTAGCATTAAGAAATATATGCTATTCCAGAGTTTGTGAGAAGCTGAAATTTTGCAGATTTTTCTGATTTGCGCTCTTGTATAAGGCAGTATTTTGAGTCTCGGTTTGAATATTGTTTTCTTAATTAAATTCATCTCCGGTCCTTTAAAGAATACATAGCATTTTTAGCTGTTAAAGTATGACAGTCCAAATCAGATTGATTCTTTTCAGGAAAGCAACTAATGCATTTATTTCTGCTTTGTCCTACGCAACTGGTTTATAACTTCATATTAAAGTGTACAGGTAAATAAAAAGCTTAGTTTGCAGTTTTTCGATCTTCTCACTCAAACGCACAGATCTTGGGAGGCCGTGGAAATGCCTGCATTTATCCACATACAATGGATATATTTCTCTTGGTGAAAGTTAGACTTACCAATATGCAGTTCTTTCAGTTCTTTGGCAGTTGAGCTATTAAAAATAGAAGTAAAACTATCTCTCCTGAGCCTCAGAGATCACCAGCACAATGTTTACGCAAGTTGTGTTTCAGTGGTAGTAGCCATCTCAATTCTCAAACCACGTAAATTGGAAATATTTTATTCCCTACAGATTTTCTAGGAATAAACAAACCACCAAACTTTGGAAGCCCTTCATGTGTTTTGTTCTCAGTTCTTTGTTATGTGTCTGTTAAGTCTTATGAGAAGAAGAACAGCAAGTGTGGAGTTTTCTATCTATCTTGATGTACTCTCGGTATATGAGAGTATGTTAAACACTGTGCTTCTGGCAAGCAGGTTGTGGAGCCTGATGGAATTCTCATACTATCTGGCCTATTTCTTTCATGAGATGTATCTGTAGTGAAAATTTCATCTATATCCCAATTCTTTCTGAGTAGCAGAATGTTCTTTTTAGTTTTTTGTATTTTTAAGTGAAGGAGAAGCTGTAGTGATAACACAACTATTTGAAAGCTCAGATAATACATAGGTGAAATATATTCCAAATTAGAATTTGATGGAAGCTGACAAGGGAAAATGGTTGGAAACTTTTCAACAAATGATAGGGTAAACTGTAGTAGGACACACTGAGTAAGTCTAGAGGGTGGCTAGTTATCAACCCTTGTGGGGATTTA